CTTCTTTAATTCAGAAAATCTCTCATTGGAGGTTCTAGTAATGAAGATTAAGATTTTGATCCTGCGCTCATCTATTCAGTTCTGTTTAACCACTTATTGAATATGGTAGATCTGGCTTATGAAGCATTTTATTACACAATTGGTTTGCTCTTTATTCAATAAAAACCTAAAATTTCTTGTGACACCATTTTAAGGTGAAACTCGAAGAACAAATGAAATATTACGTAACTAATGGAACAATTCGTCAACTTTGTTTGCACCGAAAAATATAAAACTGCTGATATTTTCATTTGGAGAGCATTATTCACAAACATTTTGATTTGAATTCGAATTTATAGGTGTAGCTTGCAATATTTATAAAAATACGAATTTAAAATCTTGCAAATTACTTCTAGTAAAGAATGTATTTTTACATCTAATAATAAATCTTATATCATTTTATAGAATTGATATCAAAAATAAAAGAGGCACTAGGCCAACCCATAAACCCTTAGTTATTTTAAGAGAAAAACATTCGTGTGCAGTTACATTAATTACGTCCTGCATTGTCTAATTAACTTAAGAAGATATTAATAAATAAAAAGCAAACGATTTGATCTTCAGAATCTGTCATACTGGGAGAAACTTTTCAGTTTAATTGGATGGCTAAAGGTAAGATTTCTTCAAAAGTTAACTTCTCCTTTGCAGTAAAGTATTTCAAAGCAGGTGCATTGTTATTGGCGATAAGTAGCATTGTAATTGAAATGGGGAGAAAATGTTGAATGAAAGCAGTTTGTTACTCATGCATTGTCAAAAACAAAATACAACTCAATAAGGTATTGAAAAAAATTATTAAACTTCTATTTTGAACTCAATTCAACTCATTCCATAAATCTTTCCTTTTAAAATTTCTTGCCCAAAGGAGACCATTGGTTGTGCTTATGGACACGATGAACAATAGGTGAATGTGCACTAAAAAATGTGGAACGCGATTGCGCATCACAACACTATTTTCATTGTAAAATGTAACTTTGCGTTTAACATTACACACGCTTAGGTGGATTGCACCCACGAAAGACACGACATTGACCTTTTAAACGGTTAACTTAAAACCGATTTGACAAAAGAATGTACATCGACTTATTTCAACTAAATATATAATCTCATCTAATTTGACTTTATCAATGGGTAAACGTTCACCTTAGTTCTGTAACCTATAATAATTGAACGCAAAAGTTGACTTAAATCTGCTATTTGCAAAACGATGTATTATATAGCACTATAAACTATTCTTACTTTTGCCTGTAAATGGGCTATTTCTGTCATAAGGTAGTTAAATTGATGAATAAAAGTATAAATTTAAAATGGTTCATATTACTAATACCTCAAAAGCGATAAAGGCACAAAAAGTCACCTCTCGTCATAGGCGTTTCTTTGATAGTGACAACAATTTGAGGGACGATATTTTCCCAGTAAATAAGATGTTAATATAATATAAAAGTGTTAGGTTGGCAACTAAGTCATTGCCGTTTTTGTTGACAGATTCACACATTATACTTTCATTTGTTTTGTCAACGTGGCCAGAGCATCTAACCTATATTTTTTTCTTACAGTATGGGCTGCTAGGTTAATTGGAAAAAAATTTTTTTGTTTAGTTCTTTAGTTTTGTTTTTATCACAATTTAAAAATGAAAGAACAGGACGTGCACTTCCGACACATTTTATTGCATTACTTCCGAAAAGGCAAGAACGCATCGCAAGCACAAAAGAAGTTATGTGCTGTATGTAAAGATGAAGCCTTAAAAGAAAGGCAGTGTCGAAATTGGTTTGAACGATTTCGTCCCGGTGATTTTTCACTGAAAAATTCACAACGATCTGGCCGCCCAGTCGAAGTGGATGAAACCCATTTCAAGGCCATTATCGATTCAAATCGTCACAGCACAACACGAGATATTGCAGAGAAGCTCAATGTGTCGCATACATGCATTGAAAAAAATTAAGAACCCTTGGTTATGTCAAGAAACTTGATTTATGGATCCCTCACCAGTTAAAGGAAATTCATTTGACGCAACGGATTAGCATCTGTGATTCGCCGCTACTGAAATGCAATGAGAATGATCCATGTCCGAAGAACCTAGTTACTGGCGACGAAAAGTGGATAGTTTATAACAATGTTACTCGCAAGAGATCATGGGTGAAGCAAGATCAACCAGCCCAAACAGTATCAAAAGCAGCAGAGATTTACCCCCAAAGAAAGATTATCCTGTCAGTCTGGCGGGATCACAAAGGAATTTTGTATTTTGAACTCATGCCGCAGAACCAAACGATAAATGCAAATGTGTATGTTGAAGAACTCGAAAAACTGAAGGATGCAATTGAAGATAAGCGGCCGGCATTATCAAATCGGCGGAAGGGTGTTGTTTTCCATCATGATAACGCATGGCCTCACACATCTTTGGTTACTCGACAAAATTATTGGAACTGGATTGGGATGTTTTGTCACAACCACCATATAGCCCTGACCTTGCGCCTTCGGATTACCATTTGTTTCGTTTCATGCAAAACTCTTTAAATGGTAAAATTTTTAACAATGCGGATGATGTCGGATCACACCTAATTCAGTTTTTTAATAGCAAAGACCAGACATTTTACGAATGGGGAATTTTTACTCTGCCAGAACGATGGAAAAAGGTCATCGACAAGAACGGCCAATATCTAATTGAATAAAGTTATATTTTAAAACAAAATTTCCAAATTTGCCTTCTTATTTGAAATCGGCAATGATGTAGTTGCCAACCTAATACTTTCCTATGACTTCAATGCCAGCTTAGCCATATAAAGAGCTGTGTTTATTCAATTGCGAACGTCTTACAGTGTAACTTGTCAGATTCGAGATGTAAGTAGACGATATTGTCCTCGTGTTCGCAACATTCTGGACAATAAAGAATCCTTAACACGTTGCATTCAAATCAAGTAAGAAATTTCTATATGCCCAATCCACGTTCGTAAAGGTCCAAATTAGAAAAAAAACATTAACAGTAATTAGCTTCGTGGAATCAGCATGAAAAAATGTCTATTTATCAGTTGATTCTAATATACCTCTTCCACACTATTTGTAGAGTTTTGGCGGTAAAATCGCAACAGATAGCATGCCTCTAACTTTTAAAATGGATATAAAAAATGAGAAAAATTAATTGTGTTTATCCTTTTAGGAATTTTTAAAAAAATACTGAGCTTTGAATAAATAAATCGTAAAATTGAGATTTACAATTAGATTTTGCACCAAACGAATGTGCTTTTTAAGATTGTGAACTTTAATCACCTCCATCGAGACATTCAACACGGCAGCATATGCCAACTTAACCAAATTAAGAGCTATGTTTATTCAAATGCAAACCCCTTGCACTGCAAATTATCGGATTTGAGATGTAAATGAAAGATTTTGTCTGCATGTTTGTAACGATCTGGTCAACGAAGAATCTTTTAAACGTTACATTCAAATCATATAATTCAGTTCCGCATTACCTGCACAAACCACTTCCATATGATATCAACACCTGATTGGAAATGAAAGAGTTCAGTTGAATAAAACAAAAACGTGTAGTTGCAAAAAGCAAATATAAATAAAACAAATATTATTAAAAAAGATGTTACGTTTTTTTCTTAAAACTCGTCTAAAATTCCAATTTATTTTTGCCTGGAAATGCTATAAATCATTTGATTAGAACATTTATTAGCCCAAATGGTGGTGAAGGTATGATAAAAACATTTCTTTCGAATGTTAGGTGCAACAAGTTGCTTAAATTAAAATAACATTTTAAGCAGAAATTTTGATTTTATTAAATTCAAATGGTCAGATTAACTTGAACGATTGTTTTTTATATTTCAGCTTGTATTACGTGCTTGAAATTTTCTCTGAAATTTATTTTTTTTAAAAAAGGATAATATATTACTCATAAAATAAAGATTAGACAAAATTAAATGCTGTGTTCGAAAACTTAAGGACTTATATTTTTTTCATTTTTTTAACATACAAGCGAAATTTGCATAGGCATTTCTTAACTTTAAGAAATGATCAATAATTCTCCTGCGAAAATATGTCAAAACAAGTCGATATGAAATAAGGATAATGAGGCAGTTTTGATGGTTGCAATATGTGTAAGGAATCCATGAAATTCCAAATTTTTGTTAATGTTTCATTTAGAAAGCAATGAAAAGAATAAAACAGAAAATTGTTGATCAAATTGACCTTAAACATATAATATCGAAATTTGTAACCTTTATCTCGTTTGAAACTTATTAATATATCCATATTAAGAGAAATGATAATGACGTTTATCGCATCATTTTAATTATTCATTCACATTCAACAGGGCTGGAATTTAATTTTTTGCTATACTTGATTACCAGGGTCTACAGTGAGAGATTTGAAGAATTTAAGAAGTGAATTCTGTACTCAGGTGACTGCAGAAGAAGAAACCCAGATAAAGCGCAAGATGGAAGCATAATTGGCAAGCCGTATCTAATGACAAAATCAAGTATGATATGATACGTGTCAATAAGTGTGTAAAATTCCCTTATCATTGCGCAAATCTACTTGAGGTTTAATAAATTGTTGCAAATTGAAATAAAAATGTTATAAAAGCAGTTTAAATTAAAAAATAGCAAATTAAAAGAAACAATTGATTTAATTCACATTTGTTTTGCGTTACCTGGGGCTCTTACTCAGCTTTTAATGTTTTTGCTTTGTTAAAAAAAGCCTAGAATTTTCGGTAACTTCGAATTTATTTCATTGCATTGATAACATTTATTTATTTATTTCAAATAGCAGGATTTGGGATATTTATCCTTATCCCTTAAACTTTGACCTCAGCTTCCCCCATGGGGGGGGGTACATTTACAGCAGTTAATAAATAGCACTTCGTTAGCTGTCTTCTTGATTTCCAGTATCTCTGGCTTACAGCCGTGGTCTTTAGAGCTGGACACCGAATCAGCTGGGTCTTCTCCATTTCCTCCTGTAAGTTACATGGAGGGCATGTGGAATTTCCTCCTGTAGGTTACATAGAGGGCATGTGGGTTGATCGCTAGACACCGAATCAGGTGGGTCTTCTCCATTTCCTCCTTTGAACACCGAATCAGGTGGGTCTTCTCCATTTTCTCCTGTAGAGAATCAGATGGGTCTTCTCCATTTCCTCCTGTAGGTTTCACGAGGGCATGTGGGGATTTCCTCCTGTAGGTTACATAGAGGGCATGTGGGTTGATCGCTAGACACCGAATCAGGTGGGTCTTCTCCATTTCCTCCTTTGAACACCGAATCAGGTGGGTCTTCTCCATTTTCTCCTGTAGAGAATCAGATGGGTCTTCTCCATTTCCTCCTGTAGGTTTCACATCAGGTGGGTCTTCTCCATTTCCTCCTGTAGGTTACAGATCAGATGGGTCTTCTCCATTTCCTCATGTAGGTTACATATGGTGGGTCTTCTCCGTTTCCTCCTGTAGGTCACATAGACAGGTGGGACTTCTCCATTTCCTCCTGTAGGTTACATAGAGTATGTGGGTTGAGTGTATACTCTCAATCTGTGAAGGTGTTTTGATACCCAATCTGTGAAGATGTTTTGCCAAGCAATCGTGTCTGGCAGGTAGTCTAAAATCAGCATCGGCTTCAATTCTTAGCCAGTCGACTATATCGAAGAGTGCCACTGTCCACTGTTTCACCTTTATTCGAGCTTTAAGTTTGTTGCACCTTGTGGTCTGGAATTCCCTTCTGATTAAGGCCTTCATTGTGTGGAAAGACATGGGCCGGTCCATGCANTGTCCCCTTCTTAGCAAGTGTGTCAGCAATCTCATTGCATTTAAGGCCACAGTGACTAGAAATCCATTGAAGGACCACTGTTTTGTTTTTCTCTCAGCAGCTCAAAGAGTTTTCTACATTTCTATATCTCAGATGTTTTGGGTGGCTCTCTGCTTCAAATTGAGTTTATTGCCGACTGTGAGTCCGAAAGTATCACGACTTTGGTGAATTTCGTATCCAGGCAACATAATTGGCAAATTGCTATCCTAATGGCCTCTATTTCTCCTTCAATAGCGGATCTATAGTGTCACACTCCTGCGTAGAGAGAGAAGAGTTCAGAATAGACACCTGCACCAACGTTTGCTTGGCTTTCTATGTATGACCCATCAGTGAAGACTTGGAGCCATTGGGTTCATGGGGAGAGAGGCTTTTTGGTTTGTCATCGATTTGTAATCCTTTCTTCAGTTCTATGGCTCACTGTATTAGAGCAGTTACGTTAACAGATGTCTTGCTCTATTTTCATAGGTGCTGAAGAACTTATCCATGGGAATGCGCAGTAGCTTCTCATATTGGATCAAGGCATTTTCTTTAATAGGGGAACATATTGTAGTGCTTCCTGTAACTAGGACCATTGCATCAATGGGTGTTGATTTTATCTCTCCAGTAATTAGTCGTAATGCTTGAT